AAATGAAGATTGATTAAATAGAAACACATATACGCCGTAGCGCTCAGTAATAACTAAAGCACTAATTTATGCTAACTGCAATATTTCTCCCGTTCGCTCGACTTCACAACCGACTGCATTTATCCTTATCAAGCATTTGCATTTTACAAGCTGACAGACGAACTCGGTATGTAAATAAGACAAATTCTGGCACGCAAAAATGGCAGGACTAGAAATGCGAGTGGCGAATATTACATTATTCATGTAATAATGAAAACTAGCGAAATGCAAATACAATGTAAAACTCTTCAACAGACACTGATCCAGAAACAGCCAAAATCCTCTCCCTTAAAGGAACAGCTCACCCAAAAATGAAAATTAGCTGAAAATGTACTCACTTCATGGGAACAGATGTGGAGAGTGAATGGGTGCCGTCAGAATGAGAGTCCAAACAGCTGATAAAAACATCACAATAATCCACAAGTAACCCACAGCACTCCAGTCCATCAGTTAACATCTGGAGAAGACTCATCCTAATCTTAGATGGCCTGAGAGTGAGCACATTTACAGCTCGTTTTCATCTTTGGGTGAACAGTTCCTTTAAGTGCTGTATACACAAAGCCTCCATTTATGGAAAGACCCTAATGAGTATTTCTCTCATGTTGTGACCTCAGGATGACCTTTTAACCTCTGAGATCAGGGGTTGAGCGTTGAGACGGGCTCCAGACCTCTTCTGAACAGACGTCTCGAGGGTGTTCTGCTATGATTGACGTTCCTTGAAGATTTCTTTTTGAACATTTTTCTGAAGACAGAGCAATGTGAGTATTAAGGGTCCGTGGGAAGGTTACTCTGAGAGGATCTGGTGGCAAGCCAGAGGCCTAACGACTGATTTCCGATTTCTCTGCTTCCTGGAGGAAAGAAACGTCAAAACATGCTTTATCTACACTGAAGCGGATTGGCGAGAGGTATAAGCAGTCGAAAAGTAGGACAAAGACATGTGGGAAATAATAAAGTCTTTGAAAGCTGCGTCTGTCTGACTGACAACAAAGAACTGTGATTTGCTCTCAGAGGAGGAGACGATTCGCCGTGATCCTCATTTAACACAGTAAAGTGATTATCACAGTTAAAAACAAAATCCACACAGATCCAAATTAATCACACATTAATGCATAAAACACAAGAATATTCCACAAGAAATGTAGCTTATGCTTAATCGACAGCATTTGAGATCAGTTACCTAATTCATCTTTTTAAAGTAGGACTACTTTTCTAGGCAGATGAATTTATAGTAGTGCATTTCCAATGTAATTTCTATGCTGTCTAGGATCCTTGCATATATTATGCAAAAAAAAATAGTTTATCAGGTTGACATGGTCGTGTTATAAATTGAAGGAAAAGTGCAATTATGCGTTTTAGTCACACTAGTTTTGTGCTAACTTTAACTTGTGACCAATACATTTGGTTAAGGATCAAAAATCATCTGACACAAATGATCAAATCAAATTATATATAATCTTTAGGGAATATTAGAGATATCAAGTAGAATGGCTACATGTTATGTCACTCACTCACTCACTCACTCTCATATTTGTATTGATTTTAGTGTATCATGTTTTTAGTTTTTATAAACTGATGCACAGGTCAAATTAGTCAGCTGTAATCAGCATAGAGCTTAATCTGTATTTTGAACCCAGAATAGTTCTTTAAGAGAAAGAGAAACCATAAGAATATTTTCCTGCAAGGTAGATAAGCAATGAACCCCTGTGATGCTAATTCAGTCATACATCCATCCAGACAGAGAGGAAAGCCTGTGTGTACCTGTGGAGGATCTAGAGATGTGGGAATCTCTCCTGGACGCTCCGCTGCTCGTGTCCTCTCGACTAATGCAGTCATAACAGAGCAGTGCTGCTCCACACACACACACACACACACACACACACACACAGGACAAAAAAAGGAAAAGGAAAGGAACACCTTTCAAGAACTGATGCACAAATATATCTGCTGGAGATTTTATTTGTCAAAAAACCCAAATAACTCAGTTGAACAGCCATGTTTAGTTATACCTGAGTTAGTCACGAGTCCCTGAGCCAAAACTTGACACACAATCACCACACCTGACGGACACACACACACACACACACACACCTCCAGACCCGTCCGCAGATGAGCGTCAGACTTTCTCACACACGTCCGTCTGCAGTCACCCGGAGAGTAAAGGGACAGTTCGCCCAAAAATGATCTTCCTGTCATCATTTACTCACCCTCATGTTGTTCCAAGC